AAAAACACAACCGCTGTTTGCCGCCCAGTCAAGTGCAGACTGGAAATGGACGGCCGAGTGTGAACCAATTCTGCGTGAAACCATACAGATGATAACAAACCGACCGATACTCGCCTTGTTCTCTCCGACCAAACGTCCAACTCTGATCACCAACGCATCAGACGTGAGCATTGGTGCTGTATTCGAACAAGATGGATGTCCGATTATCTGCATTTCTCGTTTACTGAATGCATCAATGCGAGGATATTCGCAAACGCAGAAAGAAGCGTTNCGATTTATAAACCGATGGTGACGATGATTCAACGATGGAGTATAGCATTAGCTACATACGACTACGGTATCGTGCACCGGCCGGGCAAAACAATTCCTCAAGCAGACTTTCTCTCACGCGGCAGCTAAGAAATGCTATTTCATTGCTACTGCCTCCCCGGTATCACGAAAGGAACAACGTCGATACACCAAACGATACTATGCAGCAATCATCACCGCACTATCGAAAGGATGGCGTCCGGACGTAAAACGGTAGTTCGCGGCATTCTACGCCGTTCAGGGAGAAATCATCGTACAACCTAATGGAATACTCTGCCGTAACGATCGACTGATCATCCCACCTCCGCTACGCAAGGCAGTGCTAGAAGATCTGCACAAGGGCCACTTGGTGTTAAAGAAGATGAAGTCGTTGGCACGACAGATGTGTTGGTGACCCGGTATAGATGAAGACATCAGCCGAACTACTAAGAATTGCGATGCGTGTCTACAAAAGCAGAAGTCAAAACCGAAAAATTGGACACCATGGCAACGCGTGCACGCCGACTTCTGCGGACCATTTCTCGGTCAGTACCATGCACTAGTACTCATTGATTTCTACTCGAAATGGCCGGAAGTATTTCTAACCAGCACAATAAGCAATTCGTTCGTGATGAGAGTACTACGAAAGTGTTTCAGTCGAGAGGGTGTTCCACAAGTGTTTGTGACTGAAAAGGGATCGCAATTCTGTGCGGCGGAATTGAAGGCATGGCTGGGTATTTGCGCACAGCACCACGCCATCCCTGTTCGAACGGCTTAGCGGAAAACCTTGTAAAAACGGTGAAGAGTGCCATAGCTTCTGCAAATCCGAGGACAATCTCAGAGTTGGAGACACTCCTGGATAACTTCCTACTACAATACCGAAAAACCGCACATGCTACCACCAAAGAGAGTCCGGAAAAACTGTTCAAGGCCAAAAGTCTTCGGTCCTCACTACGATGCCTGGATTCGAGTGACGTTGTATACTTCAGAGGAAACGATCTGAGACCATCGAAAGGAATCATTACCCGTAAGATTGTTCGAGCCATGGTCGAGATCACAGACCTAAGAGATGCAACAGTTCACCAAATTCACATCGATCAAATCCACTTCAACGAGACTCCTACTCCGATTGAGGACCCGGCCGATGAAACCCAAGAAAATCCATCCTGTGATACACCGCCAACAACCACAGAAGACCAGACACAGCAACCCTCTACTCCGGAAACGTTTACTGACGAGAATACCCCGCTAGCACTCCGAAGACCAATCAGAAGAGCAAGGCAACCGACGAGGCGTTTTTCAAAGAGGGGAGTTGTGGTGATTCGGATCTACGATATTACGCCTGAACTGGAGCAGCGCAGTACGGTTTCCGGACATTGGTAGTCAATCGACTTTGAGAACTGACGCCACTAGCACACGCACAGCCTCCGGATATACGTCATTGGCGGACCGTTCCAGCCAATCAGATAAAATGCAGGGAAGTCCAGTATGACGCAAGATGGAATGCAATATGATTGGTGGAAACTAAGGTAACCAATGATCTTCTTCTGCGCACATATATAAACACTTTCATTTCCTTCAATAAACGAATTTGTGATTCGCCTGTCTTGTGGCCTTTTTCCTCTCGTCTCGATCCTGCGGGTTATTGCGAGTTCGAGCCATTGCAGTCTAATGCCACCGGAATTCTAATTCGTGTTAGATCATTCCTACAGCGTAGATCGTGTCCTGACTTCTGTCCGTAATTTCACTACTACTGCTTCTAGGACGACCAATATAACGAACAAATGAGTGGGACGAGGAACGCTTAGAGGTGATATGTGAACAATAACAACAAAGTACAAAGTATGTCGTCGGACCAAATCGGGGCATGGTGATGGTCAAAGCATATTCGAAGGTTATCTGTGTAATGGGTCACGTGGGTGCACAGCTTAATCGAACCGAACCGGAGCGAGATCTGTGGTGTGATTAATTTTTCCAATCAAGTCGATACACCGCTCTACAAATTAATCACACTAGCTCGTCACATCAAACACTGCTCAGCTATGGTTCCCTTAAGCTACTTACAACTAAGTTATTTATGTAGGATACACGGGAATACCAACAGGCTCTATCATTATCTTCTTTGACCACTCTTCTTTATGGAAGCATACGCACGCTGTTGATAAAATCATGGTTCTTCTTCCAACGGCCAAACTTAAGGAGTAAGCACCGTTTCTACCGATTATGCCACATACCGTTCTTGGGTAGTTTCATCCCGTCTAAGAACAACCGCCATACGCTTCGGCTCTAGGTTCCAACAGTTGAAGGGCGTATTTGTTTTATCTGTTGTTTCTCATTAAACACGGGAGGTTCCAAATGCGGTTTCGACTTCATCGACCATAATAATTCCGGAATCTTCAGCAAGAAGGGACGGTCAATAACGGAAGAGGTATCCTTAGCGATGAATGTGCAAGATCTAGGCTTATTTGATGGATTGGGTAGTACGCTCGTGGAGAGTTTGCAGACGATAAGTTTGAAGTCTTCGTTATGATAGTGCGATGGGTCATTTGTCAGATCTATTCTTGATGGTGTAGGTACCAGTTGCAACCTCGGAGTGCACACAGAGTTGGTCGGCCCTTTATTACTAAACATAGTGTGACTTTTTGTACGCATGCTAATAACGAAACGTATTGGTACAAGGTAATGTGGTACAGCTTTTTCATAACTCTGCATTAGTTCCTGATCGCGATCGAGCCTTTGTTTCGGATAGGAGAATCTCTTCGTTTTTATCGGACAGTTATCCGGCGGCTCTGCAACTTCAAGCCTGCATGGAATGGGTACATCGAATGAGCCGTCTGTAACCAGCCGTGTAGTATCTACCATCTTCGAAGCCATTTGTCTATCTCTGGTGACCTTATTCTCAACATACATCTCAAACTGTTGAATAAGGGTGGGGTAATCTTTTGGATCATCAACGAAGCTGGTTGGTTCCACTTTCGGTATGTCCGGACAATCAGCAACCGGGGACGATGATGGCCGTGGATGCTCCCTCAAGTTTTCGAGTTCCGAGTTTGCACTGAGGAAACCCCTTGAATCCCGTAGGCAGGTCACAGGGCCTTTTATACCGGTCGATCTGCGACCGTTTGTTCAACTCTGCTTCCTCCTTGGTTCGTTGTTGTTCCTCCACGGCCACGTCTATCTTGGCCATCTCAATTTCAGTCCTTGCTAGTAACAGCTCACGTCGCCCAAGGGCCGCTATTTCCTGAATTTCCAGCTCCAATTCTTGCTCTGACAGTCCTTCTCTGATTCGGGCCTTGAGCAACTTGTTACGGGCAATTCTGGCATGAGACTTAGAACTAATATCGGAACCATGGCAAGAAACAACGTTATCAGTGACTTGCCTCCCTGTCATGGGTAAGTCCTCCACATCACTCGCTTGTTTTCTTATGAGCGGCATCAGGTCTTCAGTTCAGAAATCTCGTCGGTAGAGCACAGCACCAATGAAAAATGTACGTGCGTCCTTCCGTCGTCGGGTATCCTGAAACAGGACCAACAGCTA